TGCCAGGCATAATAAAAGTCATTTCATAATGATAAAGGGGTCAATTCACCAAGAGAATGAAATCATCCTAAATATTTTATGCATGATGCAGAGACTAACACCTATAAGTAGAAATAAATACGCAATGACAGCTATATCTCTCTCAGTAATTTAACAAAAAAGCACGCATGTAGAAGACTTGAGCACACAACCAACTTGCCTCAAGTGACAGTTACGGGCCATAATGACATAATCACTCTACCTAGCAACTTACAGCAAAATACACTGCTAATTACAGAATACTTTTTCTTGGGGCCGGGGAGATGGCTCAGTAGCATAAGCGCTTACCTGGCAAGTGTGAGAAGGCTTTGTGTTCAATTCTCAGTAATGCAAGAACAAAGAAAAAACAAACAAAAAACACCAATAACCCACATCACTGGCCACAAAACAAGCCTGAATATATTTTAAAGAATTTTTGTCTCTGTTCTCTTAGCTGAGTGGTGTTGTGTACACTCGCAAGTCTCAGTTATAGGGAAGGCTGAGGCTGAAGAATAGCCTAGAGGAATTGAAGAGGAATCGTGGACAAAGCAGTGAGAATCCATGCCAAAAGAAAAAACAGTTCTTTGTCACCTGACTATATAGAATCAAATTTGAAATCTGTAACAGCAAGCTACAGGTAAAATCTTCAAATAACTGGAAATTAAATAGCATACTTTTAAAATTCATATGGAATTACATATAAAATCATAAGAGAAATTAGCAAATAATCTGAATTAAGAGAAAATAAAAATAACAGATCAAAATTGATAAGACAGGAATAAAGCAGTATTTATGGAGTAAATCTGTAGGAGTAAATATCTACAATAGGGTTTAAATCACTGGTGATTTCCACATTAAGAAATTTTAAAATGGACAACTTAAGTCCAAAATAAAATAAAAGAAACACTGGGCTGGGGAGTTGGCTCAGCGGAATAAGCGCTTACCTAGCAAGCTCAAGGATTTAAGTTTAATCCCCGGTTCTGCAAAATAAATAAATAAACAAATAAATAAATAAATAAAAATAAAAAATAAAAGAAACACTTAACAAGAAATCAATAAATTAAAAAAGAAAAACAACAAAGCGAAATCAGTAATGCTGGTGCCTGTGAGATCAATGCACAGTTCAAACCAGGTATGGTGGCCCACACCTGTAATACCAAAACTCAGGAGGCTGAAGCAGGAGGGTTCATGGTGAGTTCAGAGCCAGCCCCAGCTACATAAGTTGAGTTCAACACCAGCCTGGACTCCATAGCAGAGACTGTGTCTCAAAAAACCAAAGGGGAAAAAAAGAAAACCTTGGGAGAGTCCACTATGACAACAGTATGCACAATGATGGTGTTTTTCTTATTTCCATCTAAATCTGAAGTTATGTAATGAAGGATACATTTCCACTCTACATATTTCTATCTAAAAAAAAACAGAAAAGATATAATCATCCTTGGACAAGCCATATAGTTCTTTTGAGCAATGAGTTTCCTTAGAAATAAAGAAAAGGGATTGGGTTAGATTAGTGGTAACAAACCTACGGCAGGCTTGCCACAGCAGGCTGTTAGTGCTGAAAGCTCCAAAAGGTTCACCATCACTGAGTTAGGTCATCTTTAAAAATTCTCTAAATTAGATCTTAGAAATGTTAAAGAGATGTATATTTACTATTAACAGCTTAAAATGACCTGAGCCACAAGTTATTTTGGCAAAACCCTGGAAACATACCTCAAAAATAACTACACTGTACAAAGAGGAAAAGTTGTTCAATCCACCCATAGTAATTAGTATTTTCAAATAACAGCTTAGGGGGAAGAAAAACCAAAGGACAATTTTAGTCTAATTCAAAACCAAGGACCAGTTAATTTTTAGTTCTCTGCTTATGCCCTAAGGTGGCATTCCTATCTGTCCCCAAAAGGTGGTAGAAGTGGTGGTCCATGTGTGTAATAACAAAATTAAAGTTCAATGGAATGAAGGACTCTTGATGACAGTTAGCTCAAATGACTTAGACACTACTGTGGGCTTCAGATACCTATCATTTTTCTGCTGCTGTCTTGTAGGAGAACACTACATTTTAAAAACAGACATAGAGGGCCCGTGAGATAGCTTGGTGGACAAAGCACCTGCTTAGGCAAGCACAGGGACTGGAGTTCGATATCCAACACCACATGCCCCACTGGTCCCACCCTGGGCACACCAAAATGGCCCGAGACCCAGCACGCCTACAATCCCAGTGCTGGGGAGGCTGAAAACAGGTGGATCACTACAAGTCTGAGTTGCACAGTGAGACCCTGTAAAAACACATAAAAATGAAACACAAAACACCAGACACAGAAATCTGTCTACAATGTTACTAGATTTTATAAAGTTGCATCCAGATTGGCTAACTAAGCAGACTAGTTATTCACTGACCAGCAGTTAACCTTAAAAATACGGGCCATGGAGCCAAATCACTTGAGTTAGGCTAGATACTGGCCTTACCACTATAGGCAAACTACAGTACTTACTTATATAGGGGTTACTGTGAGGATTAAATTTATATGTATATGTGTATATATATATATATATATATGTATATATGAGTGTGTGTAATAACAAAATTAAGAAGTTCAATGGAATATATATATATATATAAAGATATACACAGGATTCTCTTTTCACTTTTTTAAATAAGCAACACCAGAAACTAAGATAACCTGTAAAATTATTAAAATAGCACTTTCAGCAAAATTCATTTTTTTCTTAATTTAAAATTCTCTTACAGGGGCTAGTGAGATGGCTCAGTGGTCTAAAGCACCTACTTAGAACAAGCTTAGCAAACCACAGGGACCGCGGTTGGATCCCCCAGCACCACATGCCAGCAAGTCCCGCCCCCTGGTGGGCTGAGCTGCCCACCCACATAAATAAATAAAATTAAAAAAAAATTTATAAAAAAAATTCTCTTACAAAGCTATATATCTATATATGTCAGCAAGATGGTCAGTGCTTATGAAAATATGAACTATACATTACTTTAAAAGACTATAGAGAGAATCTGGGAGGCCTACAATGTTACTAAATTTTATAAAGTTGGGCATAAAGGTATATTCACTCATTAGAACATTTGGCTAAAATCAGATAATGTGGAAATAATACAGCCTTTATGAATATTTTAAAACTGCCAAGCACTCGACTTTAATTGTTGCAGAATGTTTTAACCTAATAAAATCCTAGGGTATGATTTCAAAAAGATGGACCTAAAGCCTGAGTAAGCTCCAAGAACTGCACTTTACCTCCCCACTCCAGCATGGCTCAAAGGACTACACAGTTCTACTGACTCATGGCTCACTAAAAGTTACATGGAAAAGTGGAAAGATGCGACCCAAACAAGTTTCACCTCCTATATCAGTCTATATGAAACAGTGATGGGATTCAAGGGAGGGAATGAAATACTCTGTGTATTCCATTCACACACAACACTTTTAACTCATGCTCATTATTTAAAGGGCTAGAAGAAATCAAGTTAAGACTTTTTACAGCACTGTTTGAAATCACTGTGCTGATACTCTTTACAAAAGGACATCTATCTCCAGGTTAAACTGTACAATCTGTATATAAATACAGATTTTTAGTGTTCCTTCAGAACCTTTACTTTGAAAACACTATAGGCACTTCCCGGTTAAGCCCAAGGGCCTGAGTTCAATCCCAGGTTCTGCCAAAAAAAAAAAAAAAAAAAAGAACATTTAATTTTGAAGAAAACTATTCTGAACTTGCAAGTGGGCCCAGAATAAATTAATCATGGACATTTTCAAAAAAAAAAAAATAAAGCTAATTTATTAAGTATAATTAGTCTTTGGGTGCAATGACTCATTCCTGTAATCCCACCACTCTGGAAGATGAGGCAAGAGCCCACCCTGGGCAATTTATTGATTTAACAAGACCTTAAAATAAAATTTTAAAAATGAGTGGTGGTAAGGAATGTAGCTCAGTGTAAAGGCCCATTACAGGGCAAAAAACAGGGGGGAAGAAGGTAGCAAATTTGTATTTTAATTTAAAGACCTTCCCCCGTAAGCCTTCTGAGGCAAAAGTACTGTCTTCTTTGTACATAACTCCAGCTTTAACCAAGTACTTGAGAGCTCAATTAAATTTCATGAAATGCACATTTATATGATGTTTCCTTTTTCAAAAAGTATTACTGTAATCAACCTTTCAGGTAACTGCAGACTCAGTCTGAGTACTAAGCTTAGATCATTCTGGGATGCCAAGGGACTGCTAACCACTTGCGTCTACGTTCTCATAAAAAATACAAACAGCAGACATACATAATATAAGCCTTGGGGGGCTTGTGTAAGCCTCTGAACAATTTATGTAAGATAGAGCAATTTTGGAGCAACTATTCAGTATCACAAACACAGTAATAGCCTCCCCATAACCAATTTTCTTTCATCATAAAAACAATCTATCCAAACCAGTATGTGAAAACCTTGAAGTGTACCGCAACGCTAGTCCTTTATTCCAGGGAAATCAGAAGGAACCAGGTCGTTAAAAATGACCGGAAATGGAAGGCACAGACATAAAACGACTCCAAAACTAAAGGATAAGAGGCAAACACCCCCACCACAAACAGCCCGGAAAAGAGCACTCCGGTCGCCCCTCTCCTTCTGTCTTCAAACAACACTTGTAAAACCCACACGCTTCAGCCTAGGAACGGATGCAGCAGCTAGGGTCCGAGGCGCCCGCCCGGGGTCGCGCAGACCACACCTCCCTCCCTCCC